CTGACTGCCATCACTCGTAGTCCCTCTCCACCTGATCCATTCTCTTGATGCTTTCTTCTCTGTCCCTCGTTTCTAAACTTTCAGTTTGCACGTTCAGCATTGCCTTTTATGGGATTCCTGTTTCATAGCCTGTATTGCTTTCCTATTTCATTCAGCTGTTTATTTGCATCCTCTTTGAATTACAATTTAATTTGTATCTACTTTGATCTCACTAGACAGTCTTATCATTATTCTTTTAAAATTCCTCACAATTTAATGTAATTTACTCTTAAAATAATATTTTTAGGCTGGACATAATGGCTCACACCTTTAATTCCAGCACTCGGGAGGCAGAGGTAGGCAGATCTCTGTGAGTTCGAGGCCAGCCTGGTCTACAGAGCGAGTGCCAGGATAGGCTCCAAAGCTACACAGAGAAACCCTGTCTTGAAAAACAAAAAAAGAAAAATATATTTTAAAGATTTATTTGCTTGTATGAATGATTTACTTGTATGTCTATGTACCACATGCCTTGTGCCCTTGGAGTCCAGAGATGGTGTCAGATCCCATGTGGGTACTGAGAATTAAACCCAGGTTCTCTGGAAGAGCAGCCAGTGCTCTTAACTGCTGAGCCATCTCTCCAGCCCTCTAATTCATATATTTGGGGAGATATTACATGGAACTGGTATTGAGAGACAGAACTGTGCTGTTTGACTTTTTATGCTTATTTATTATTACTGTGTATGTGCTTGCGTGGTGTGTGTGTGTGTGTGTGTGTGTGTGAGAGAGAGAGAGAGAGAGAGAGAGAGAGAGAGAGAGAGAGAGAGAGAGAGAGAGAGAGAGAGAGAGAGACATGGAAATGCTCATGTGTGTGCTTTTTTGTTTATATATGCACAGTGTGTGTGCGGTGCCTCTGAGGACCACAAGAGGGCATCAGATCCCCTGAAGCTGGTGTTACAGGCAGTTGTGAGCTGCCTGATGTGGGTGCTAAGAATCAAATCCAGGTCCTCTGAAAGAACAGCGAGTGCTCTCAGCTTCTAAGCCAGTGGTTCTCAACTTGTGGGTCACGACCGCTTTAGGGGTGAAATCATCCTTTCACAGGGGTGGCATATCAGATATTCACTCATAACAATAGCAAAATTACAGTTATGAAGTGGCAACAAAAATAATTTTATGATGGGGTGGTTACCACAACATGAGGAACTGCATTAAGGGTTGCAGCATTTGAGAGGTTGAGAACCTCTTCTCTAAGCACCTTTCTAACTCCATAGTGAGCTAGTTTTTTGTTTTGTTTTGTTTTGTTTTCAGGATCTCTGTGTGTAGCCCTGGCAGCCCTAGAACTAACTATGTAAACTAGGCTGGCCTAGAGCTAAGGGAACTCTCTGGGATTAAAGGAGTGGGACACCACACCTGACTCCCACGGTAAACTCCTTAAAAGTCCTGGTAGTTACTTAGTTCCTAGTCAATAGTCCTACTACAGTGTATTGTACATGGAAAAGTATATCAACTGCAAATCAAGAGTTTAAATTACTCTATCCAGAATATTACTAAGTTTTATTGAGTTGTTACGGCACTTTGCTAGACCCTCCAGAATCATATGCAATGGAATGTAGAAGGAATGTATCTCAGCTGGTAGGGCACTTGTATGCATAGAGCTCTCAGCACTGCAAAAACCACGTGTGGCAGTGCATGTCTGTAATCCCATTACTCAGCAAGTGGAGGCAGGAGGATTCCAATTCAAGGTCATTGTTAACTGCAGACTTTGAGACCAGTCTTGTATATATGAGACCCTGCCTATAAAAAAAAGTACCCAGAATTTGCCTTTTAAAATCTTATATTAAGAGCATGGTCTTTTTGTCTTTTTATTCATCTCTTAAGAAATAAAACAATGTGTAACTTTTGTAATAAAAAGTGCTTTTTTTAAAAGTATGTAAGAAAAAAATCCCAAGACTACAGTGCCTCTCTGTGGCTCTACTCAGTACTTTCCCTCACATGTCACAAGGGGCTCAGACTTGTGGCAGCTGTGCTTGGAGCTCTGATTCTTGGGCAGTGAAACCCCATCACTTGAGGCCTTTTGTGCAAGTGGTTGGGGGTGGAGATGCCGAGGACTAAAGATGAGAAAATTCTTCTTGGGGTGATGAATTCTGTGCTGAGAATTGTAATTTTCTTTCTACATTTTGGTGATCTTGTCTCACTGTCTGTTTCTGCTGTATTGATGACATGCTATTTGTCTTAAGACATGGTCTCACTCAGTAGCCAGGCTGGCCTGGAACTTACGATGTGTCCCCGGCTGACCTCAATCTCATGGTAATCCTCCTGCCTCAATCTCCCAAGCCCTGAGATGTCTTGTATGAATCACCATATGCAGCTATGACATCCTACATCCTTATTTTCTTCTGAATGCATTGTATTTTCTTTTGGCTGCTTGTCAGGCCCCGTCACCAGTGGTTTAAAAGGGTTTGGACCAGACTTTTTATCACAGTGATGTGATAATTGAACAAGACTTTGTAAGGAAGCAAAGATTTGTTTGAGTCAGTTTCAGAGTTCAGTTCCTTATGATGGGGAGGATAAGGGCACTGCAGAGTTTGTCTCAGGGGAGCCAGGAAGAAGAAAGAAGATGCCTTTACCCACAGGGTTCTACTTTTCCTACTTTTTTTGTTTTGTTCAAGACAGGGTTTTTCTGTGTCTCCCTGGCTGCTCTGGAACTTGCTTTGTAGACCAGGCTGGGCTCGCACTCACAGAGATCCACCTGCCTCTGCCTCCCGAAGTGCTGGGATTACAGGCATGCACCACCAACTACTATTACCTTTCCCACTTTTATTCTATCCAGGGTCTTAACCTGTGGGCTGATTCAGGGAGAGACTTCACCTTTTAGTCAACCTTTTCTGGAAACATCCAGAAAGCCAGAGGTAAGCATCCATGATCTCCCAGGAGCATCTCAAGCCAATCACTGGAACAACCCAGTTTGACGATCGACAAGTCTACCTGTATCCCCTTGACACCAAACTCGTTTGGTCATTGATTTTAGTTCTGGCCTCCAAAAGACTCATAAACACAAAATACACATAGCATAGCTCCAAAAGCCTCCACAGTCTTAACAGTTCCAACAGCATTAGCAAGCCCAAGTTCCTGCAAGACTGAGACAATTCTTAGATGTGGGATAATATTTAAATAGGGAAACTTAAGGAGGGAGGACACATATACTCATTATGGGGGGACACAGACAGAGATGGAATGAGATGAGGATGGATGGAATGCCTTCCTGTGAGCTTTCTCCTTTCCCCCATCTATCTAGGTCCTCAGCTATGGTATGGTACAGCCCACATCAATTGTGGACTGCCCCCTTTAATCTGGGAATGCCCTCCTAGGTACACACACAGAGGGGCACTTCTCAATTTACTGAGTTGACGATCAAGATTATCCATCACGTGACTTTCTTCATGGCTTTGTGTTTCATGTTCTTAGAGTTTGTTGAGCTTTTTGTGTTTGTGCATTTACAGTTTTTATTATTTGTTTTGTGTTGTGACATTTGTCTCTCTTATAGCTCAGGGCAGACCTAGAACTCACTATGTAGCCCAGGCTGCCCATGGACTTGTAACAATCGTGCCTCATTTTCCCAAGTGCTAGAATTATAAACATAAACCATCAATTTGACTTATATTTTGTTATGTTTGGAAAACTTTTGTCAATATTTCTTCTAATATTTTTCTCAACTTATTCATATCTTTAGAGATACCAACTATAAGTGTATTTGGTCATCTGAATTTGCTCCAGTACTCAATGGTCCTCTATTTCTTTTTTTTTTTAAATAATTTATTTTTATTTTATGTGCATTGGTGTTTTGCCTGCATGTAGCATGTACATCTGTGTGAGGGTGGTGAATCCTGGAGTTAGAGACAGTTGTGAGCTGCCATGTGGATGTTGGGAATTGAACCCGGGTCCTCTGGAAAAGTAGTCAGTACCCTTAACCGCTGAACCATGTCTCCAGCCCCCTGTATTTCTTTCTTTAGTTTATACTGGACATTATCTATTGCTATGTCATCCTAATACAAAGTCTCACCTGCCATTAATCACCATTTAATACATCTCAGATGTTACTATTATGTCTTTTGGTAATATTTTGGAGAATCACATATTTGAGTCATCAGATTATAATTTGTTAAATTGACATTTTTGAATTTTAAGAGTTTTTTAAAATTACCTTTTAATTAGTGTGTGTGTGTGAGGTCAGAGGCCAGCTTGTAGGAATTGGCTCTCTCCCTGTGTAGGTCCTATGAATTGAACTCGGGTCATTAGGTTTTGTGACAAGCACCTTTATCCACCGAGTTATTTCACTGGACCAAAAGGTGTGTTTGTTTTGTTTTGTTTTTTCAAAATGAAAATGAGAAAATCTATAGCTATTTACTGGAACGCTCACTAATATGGAAGGTGGGAACCCTAGAGGTTCAGGACAAGGCAAATGGTATGCCCAACAAGTACTTCATACCTTTAAATATGGCAGACACACAGAACCTAGCGTTTTGGGCAGTGGTGAAATAGTTCATGTGACACTAGCATGTGCTTGCTTTCATGCCTGGTTCTCTAAGAGAACACTGACTGACTGACTGACTGACTGATTGACTGACTGGATGAAAACATGGACTGGACTTCACATGCTATAGAAGTGCAAGAGTTTTGCTGGTTTTCCCTTGTAATTCGCCATGTACTGTCCTATTCTCCAGAACCAGCAGCCACCATCTTCAGGAGTTCAGCTATGCCTGCTGGTATAGATAGCACAGTTGGGCTTGCTATCTACTGGTAAAATAACTATGATATTTTGAACTTTTGAGGGTTCTTTGAAAACAACCGCCCAGACCAAGTATATTTAAAAGTAAGTATAGGAAAGCAGTTTTATCTAAGGGATGAGTTTGAGAATGAAACCTCAAGCCCAAAGCTGTGTGAGCACTCCTCATCCTGGCCACTTAGAAAACAGTGTGGCTGAGTTTCATCAGGATGGCCACTTTGACATCTCAAAGAGGAAAGCATAGCGTTTCTAAGTTTTTATTTTGAGAAATTCTGGGAAGTGACCACAAAAAATGCAGTACATCAAAAAAACTGGGGACAGTTTTTAACAACCTGAAAATTCCAAATTCTAGAACTGCTTGTTTTGAAACTAACTTGCAAACAAGACAGGATAAAACAAATGGATGTGCATAGCAATGCTAAACCATCTTCTACGGCACCTTCAGGACAAGGGCTTGTTTTAGTAAAAGGTTGGTGGGTTATTTTTTTTTGTCTTTTTTTTTTTTTTTTTTTGCCTGTTAACAACAACAATGACACAACAATAACAGCCATCTTAATGCAAAGGACCCGCTGGAAAGTCATTCTCAGGTGTCAGAGCCCTGTCACCTCCCTGTCCTCACTGCACCCAGTGACAGGCGCAGTACTGGGTTGGTCCTGCAGCTCGCTCATCGCCTGCTGGTTCGGTGGTCACCCTTGTCCCTGGAGGCCCGCTTCCTTGGGGGTGAGCCCCGGGCTGAGTGCATGTTGCGCTTAGAAGATCGGCTTCTGTGCTGCTTTGAGTTTGTCTCTTTCTGGTCTTGACTCTGGCCAGATTCCTTGCTGCCCTCTTTTTGTTCATGCTCCTGCTCTTTATGGGAGGGCAGGGTGTTCTTAATTGTGTTAATTAGGAATCTTTTATTTGTACCAGCAAGAGGACACTTCATCCTATGGAGGAGAAGAGGGAGGAAAAAACATCATAAACAAGAGAGTTAAAACATGCAGAATCTGAGGCCAGCCTGAGGCAGGTAACAATTCAGGATGTGGAGTAAGTCTCTGGAAAGACGTACAATGGCCCTGTGCCTGAACATTACAGCATCTGTTACCTCAGGAGACTCTGCAGACACCACCACAGCAGGGTTAGCCCTGACACCACGCCATAGCTAAGGCAGAACTGGAGAAAAGTCGCCATAGTCTAAGTGGCAAGTGGCCAGCAACCAGGGAAGCAGTCGCAGGCGGAAGTGCTTCACTGTGCTTGCAGCTGGGGCGTCTCCATCCAGCAGGCCAGGGACAGGGGCACACAGCACTAAGAATGGCTGGCCACTCAGGGACACAGGACAGTCACAGCACAGACAATGTCAGGGCAAAGAGGCATCACTTGACTCTGAGTCCAGTAGGACTAGGGAGTGGTGGTTTCCAGCAGACAAATGCCTTGGTCATGAAAACAAGGCTGCATGAAATACAGCTCACTGTCCGCTAGACAAATCCATGCCCACGCCAGGGACAGGCAGCCATCTGCTCCATATAAGGCCTTTATACTCCGGAGGCTGCAAGACTATACTGTCACCTCTGGAAACACCGAGGCAGAGGCAAGTGTCCCCCCACCCCCACCCCATGCAGAGGTGATATTTATCTTAATGCTATGGTGATTACAACTCCTGTTGTTGTTTAAAGCTGCCACAGCTACCATAACCACCCAAGGTAGTACAGTTTACAACTTGGCCATCAAGTGCATCAGCAGGTGGCCATCTGAGGAATGTACTCCTTAATTACCTTTCATTCAACACTCCTAAAGCTTACTGTGTCCCCAACACTGTACTGAAAAGTAATGTGAAATAGTGGGTATATGTGTGCCTGTGGGAGAATGTATATATAAAAGAATTAACTCATTTTCAAAACCCAAGTCTCTTCCATCTGCGGGGCATCACACTAGGCCTGTGTGGCAAAGACAAACCAGGCTACCAGTGGGCATATCTCCACTATGTGGGAGAGAGAAGACTGAGGGGAACAGAGGCAGGTGGGAACATACACAGGTTAGCTGCGACCCGTGGAAGGTCTCCAGTGCTGCAGCACACGAGCCTTTGTCCAGACCATGACCCCACAGGAGCACAGGCAGACCCCACAGGAGTCCATACAGACCCCACAGGAGCACATGCAGATCCCATAGGAGCACATACAGACCCCACAGGAGCACATGCAGACCCCACAGGAGCACATACAGATCCCACAGGAGAACAGGCAGACCCCACAGGAGCACATACAGACCCCGTAGGAGCACATACAGACCCCGCAGGAGCACATGCAGACCCCGCAGGAGCACAGGCAGACCCCACAGGAGCACAGGCAGACCCCACAGGAGCACAGGCAGACCCCACAGGAGCACATGCAGATTCCACAGGAGCACAGGCAGACCCCGCAGGAGCACAGGCAGACCCCACAGGAGCACAGGCAGACCCCGCAGGAGCACAGGCAGAGCCAGTAAGCACCGCAGAGCATTCCCAGGCAGGAAGAGAAGAACAGTGACTTGGTACAGGAGCAGACATGGAGAGGTTTGAAGTATGAAGTGAAGGTTTGGATTTGGGCAGGATTGTGACAAAGGCACACCCTCCCAGCCTCCTCACTGAACTGGGATCACCTACTGATGTGTATCCACCAATGCAAGCCAGGTGGCCTGAACTACCTAGGGCAAGCAGCAAGTCCAAATGGATCTGGAAAACTGCATTTGCTTTCTTGTAATCAAGCATTCCCAGCAGTGCTGGGACGTAGCTGAGCAGTGTGTGAGAAGCCCTGGGTTCAATCAACTCCCAGCACTCAAAGTAGAAAGCTGACGGTGTAAAATGCATAGGTGCTTCCCTCTCTGTCTCCAGACTGACCCTTCAGGAAAGCACCCACCATTTACTGGAACACAACTGTGTTAAGAAACTACAGGCTAGCTGGGTGTTGGTGGTACATGTCTTTAATCCCAGCACTTGGGAGGCAGAGGCAGGTAGATCTCTATGAGTTCAAGGCCAGCCTGGTCTATAGAGCGAGTGCCAGGACAGGCTCTGAAGCAATACAGAAAAACCCTGTCTCCAAAAAAACCAAAAAAACCTACAGGCTGCTGCTCCATGAACCCTTCATCTGTGGACTCTGCCCATGGGCATCAGACTTGGGAAGGACACTGCAGAGAAGCTGAAGAGACTGAAATCAGAACAAAAATGACTGCAGCCAAGCAAGTTCAAATGAGTGTTTGCTGAGACACCCAGGGCAATGCACGGCACCAACGGTATCCTGCAAAAATAAAAATGGTGTTCCACTCACTCTTGTCTAGTTCAGCAGCCTCTGCCTGGCACCTCTTCAAGTTCCCGTGATGGTTCTTATGGAATGTCTCAAGTTAAACAATCCCACCCAAGTTCTAGTTCAAATATTGAAGACTATTCTGAGTAAGTAAAGCCTTTCTACGCACTTGGAAAAACAGACAGTGGTTTACAAGTGAGTAATTGACTCTCTGTTCCTTTAAGAGCTGTGCACAGAGGTCCCTTCTCCAGGCAAGGCCTGGTGTGCACACCTAGGCAGGCCACTTTAGTGCCCAAGTGCTGTGTCCCTGGCCTGGGTGCAAGGCTATTTTAGATTCTGCCTAGCAAGCAGTTGCTGTTGTTTTCAGTGAACTAGGATTAGTGTTTTTTCAAACACGTGTGCATTTTTAGTGTCACCTGGGTGTGTGTTTTGAGTCCCAAAGCCCAGATCCATTCCAAAATCCTAACAGCAGGATGTAAATAAACATCAGCAGTATTCAAGTCTGCCAGGAGATTCCAAATATGCAGATCAATTTGGAAATACCAGTTCATTTCGCTTGGCAGGTAAAATGCTTGCTATACAAGACTGACAACCTTGCTGGGCCGTGGTGGCGCACGCCTTTGATCCCAGCACTCGAGAGGCAGAGAGAGGTAGATCTCTGTGATTTCGAGGACAGCCGGGTCTACAGAGTGAATTCCAGGACAGCATCCAAAGCTACAGAGAAGCCCTGTCTCAAACAAACAAACAAACAAACAAAAAAAAAACAATAAAACAAAACAAGACTGACCAGCTCAATTCCCAGAACCAGGTAAAGGTGGAGTCAGAGAACTGACTCTCCACAGTTGGCCCCTGACGTCCACATGTGGGCCCCTACTCACACACATCATATACCCACACAGTAACAAAAATAATCTAAAACAGCAAAACCATTTTCAAGACCAAAAATCCATCATCAATTTTCTTTTTTTTTTCTTTTCTTTTTTTTTTTTTTTTTGAGACAGAGTTTCTCTGTGGCTTTGGAGGCTGTCCTGGAACTAGTTCTTGTAGACCAGGCTGGCCTTGAACTCACAGAGATCCGCCTGCCTCTGCCTCCAAGTGCTGGGATTAAAGGCGTGCGCCACCAATGCCCTGCCATCAATCTTCTTAATATCTTCAAAAATGCCTAGTTCTTTAGCATTGCTAATTTTTTTTCTTTTTTGACCGTGTGTATGCATGTCTGTGTATGTGCAAAGTAGTGCAGTGTTCATGGGAGCCAAGGTTGGGAACCGGATTCCTTGAAGCTAGAGTTCCTGGTGGTTGTGAGACACTCTGTGGGTGCTGGCAATCAACTCGGGTCCTCTGCAGGAGCAGTCATACTTCTACCAGCTGAGCTATGTCCTCACTCCCTCCTATGTCTTTTTAAAAAGTGGGGGAGGGGAGGGCAAGTTCACCTGTGTGTACATGCAGACAGAGGCCAGAGGACAACCTCAGTTGTCATTTTCTGGATGTTGTCCACTTCCTTTCAGACAAGGTCTCTCACCAATCAGGCTAAACTGGCTGGCCAGTGATAACACTGTCTCTACCTCTCTAGTCCTGGGATCACAAGCACCCATTGCCAAACCCAGCATTTTTTCCTTGGGTTCTGGGGCTCGAACTTGGGTCCTCATGCTTGTAAGGCAAGGGGCTTGTCCATCTGAGCTTGTCCATCCCCTAGTCTTCAAGTGTCTTTTTGTTTGTTTGTTTGTTTTCGAGACAGGTTTCTCTGTGTAGCTTTGGAGCCTGTCCTGGAACTCACTCTGTGGACCAGGCCAGCCTTGAACTCACAGAGATCCACCTGCCTCTGCCTCCTGAGTGCTGGGGTTAAAGGCACGCACCACCAACCTCCTGGCTCTCAAGGTTCTTTTAATGGTTACTTTATTTTTTAAAGTTTTTAAAGATTTATTTTCATGTGCAAAAGTGCTCTGTCTGCATATATGTCTATGCACCATGTGTGTGTTTGGTGCCTGAGAGGCCAGAGGTGGGCATCGGATCCCCTAAACTGGAGTTAGAGTTGTGAGTGAGCTGCTGTGTGGGTGCTGGGAACTGAATCCAGGTCTTCCGGAAGAGCAGCCTGTGTTCTTAACCACTGAGCCATCTCCAACCCTCAATAGTCATTTTGGACAATGATTCTTGTTATGGAATATTCTGATTACATTCTGCTGCTCCTGACTGCCAACAGAGTTTGCTTTGAATCAGAGGGAGGAGCTAGCTACTAGCTGACCAAAATTAGTCATAGAGGTTTTGGATGACTGAGGACAGAGACACAATAGTAATAGGGTGGGGCTTAGAAAATGTCTTGGTCTTTTTTGGATCAAGGAAGAAAGAGAAGAGAGAGAGGAGGTCCCTGGTCATTTCTTTGCTGCTTCTCTGGTCATTTAGGTTCTTACTACAATATCTGATAAAGAATAACTAGATAAATGTTTCAGATCCTAACAAGTCATCATATTTTATGGTTCTCAAATCTATTAATTCACAGGATCCTTCTTTCCCTTGTAATCCATTTGTTAAAGGCACTGCTTCCTTGACCTGTAAAATCTTACATCTTGATGCTGTGATTACAACCTTTAGAGATAGACCAGACCCCGGCTCAGTGTCTTTACCAGGATGTCCTATGTGTGTGTGTGTGTGTGTGTGTGTGTGTGTGTGTGTGTGTG